GAAACCATGTCCCCTGTATTGGCAGGCAGATTCTTTTTTTCTTTTTTAATTAATTTATTTATTTTTGGCTGCTTTGGGTCTTTGTTGCTGCATGTGGGCTTTCTCTAGTTGCAGCGAGTGGGGGCTACTCTTCATTGTGGTGTGCAGGCTTCTCATTGCAGTGGCTTCTCTTGTTGCGGAGCACGGGCTCTAGGTGCACGGGCTTCAGTAGTTGTGGCATGTGGGCTCAGTAGTTGTGGCTCGCAGGCTCTAGAGCGCAGGCTCAGTAGTTGTGGTGCACGGGCTTAGTTGCTCCGCGGCATGTGGGAAGATCCCAGACCAGGGCTCGAACCCGTGTCCCCTGCATTGGCAGGCGGATTCTTAACCACTGCACCACCAGGGAAGCCCCCAGGCGGATTCTTAACCACTGCACTACCAGGGAATTCCCATGAAATAGTTACTTTTATTATCCCATTTTACAGAGGAAGAAATTGGGACACAGAGAAATCAAGTGACTTGCCCAGTGACATACAGCTAGTTAGTAGCAAAGCTGGGATTGAAATATAGGCAGTTTGGCTTGAATCTTTGCTATTAATCAGATCCAGGACTGAATGTGGATGATGCCATATAAGAAATGCAAAGAATGTGCTATGGCAGTTCAAAGAAGGGAGTGGTCACATTAGTGTCTGATAGGGAATTAAAGAAGGCTATATGCAGGAGTTGGTGTTTTTCCTAAGCCTTGATTTGGGGTCAGCTTTTTCAGGTGCTTGGATATGGGAGAAGAAAAGGGAGACTAAAAAATAGCATATGCTAAAGCTCAGAGATGGAAAATGGAAGTAATCCTGCTTGTAAGGATACAGTAGGAAGAGAGATAAGAAAGTTGGTTTGGGGTTAGAGCATAGGACGCTTGCGATTTGAATGGAGGACAAGGTGGGGAAGATGTGATATGATCAGAGCTGTGCTTTGTAAATGTGGGAACATTCTGTGTGGACTAAAAATTAATCAGTCAGTCTAAGAAAGAAAAGAAAAATTTTATTTGAGCCAAATTGAGGATTATAACCCAGAACGGCATCTCAGAAAGCTCTGAGAAATGATATGCCCATTAGAATTCAAAGCACAATTATAAGTTTTTTGAGACAGAGTGCTGTACACTAAGTGACATATTACTGACAGTTTACACAATCCAGATCTGCAAAAAATGGCCCCCTTACAAGATCCAGAAGCAATGTTATCTTTTAAGTGGTCTTGTTGGAGCTAGGAGAATGTTGCATTCATGGTTAAGCAGGTATTTCTGCCAGTGGGGAGGTTTGATGGATGCATAATGCCGATTCACAGTGCACAGTAGTAGAGGGGAGACAGGAAGCCAAAAGGCAGAGAGAATTTTTTATGTTTAAATTTTTCTTGTGTTGCCATAAACTATGAATTTTATTTCACATGTGGAATGAGTCAGTGCTGCTAGAGACTGACTATAGATAAAACAGTTATAAAGTTGTTATTATATCCAGAAAAGAGGTAATTGGTCTTGAACTGCAGTGACAATAGTGATAGGTCAAGAGATATTACAGAATTTGAATTGACAGAGCAGAGAAATGGCACAAATAAAATGGAAAATCCAGTATTTATATCATCATATAACAAGTGTAAGTTTATTTTATGTTCAGTAAGATCCTTTGAATATCTGGGAAATTCTCCTTTTGGTATAAATGAACATAGTTTTAAGAGAAAAAAATCTGTTCATTCATTTCTAAAAAAATACGAAGTTTTTAAAATCTCATTGGGCTTGAAATTGGCATCCAGGGAAATGATTTTCTTAGAGGCTAGCTAATTTATTCAGAATGTCTGAATCAAAAATATTTATTTATTAAAAAAAATTTTTTGGCCATGCCGTGCAGCTTGAGGGATCTTAGTTCCCCGACCAGGGATTGAACCAAGGCTTGCAAGTGAGAGCGCTGAGTCCTAACCACTGGACTGCCAGGGAATTCCTGAAAATATTTTTAATCTGTTCAATGTAGACAAAATTAGAAACTTTAGCCTAATGATTTGGAAGAAACGATGGATATGTTTTTTTAGAATTGCTGTATATGATTGTAGCCATTTCCCTCATGTGATAAAAGTGTAAATTGCAAATGAGAACCTAAATTAGTCTATCTATTGACTTCCCTAAGTAGGAATCTTCTAGCTGACTTACCTTATTTGCAAAAACTTATTTAAAAGTAATCTTTGGAAAACCCTGATAGAACTGGTTTGTTTTAATGGGTTGATAAAAGTTAGTGTGAGAGGAATATTTAATTATTGTTTGGATGCCTCTGGCGATACAGCTATATATCAAAATATTAACTTTGTAAGAGTTATAAACATAACAAAGTCAAACCAGGAGATGATGATATCTCAGAATTGTATCGATACAGTACCGAGAAATAAATTTACCAAGGAGGTAAAAGACTTGAAACCTGAAAACGATAAAACTTGTTGAAAGAACTTGAAGAAGACCTAAATAAATGGGAAGACATCTCATATTCATGTATTGGAAGACTTAATATTGTTAATATGTCAATACTACCAAAGTGATCTACAGATCCAGTGCAAGCCCTATCAGAATTCCAGTGGCCTTTTTTTTTTGTAGAAATGGAAAGCCAATATTCAAATTCATTTGGAATTGCAAGGGACTCTGAAGCCAAAATAATCTTGTGAAAGAACAAAATTGGAGCCTACACATTTCCCAATTTCGAAACTATTGCAAGGCTACAGTAATCAAAATAGTGCGGTATTGGCATGGAATAGAATTAAGGTCCCAGAAATAAATTCACACATTTATGTCCAGTTGATTTTGACAAGCATGCCAAGACTATTTAATGGTGAAAGAATAGTCTTCAACAAATGGTACTAGGACAACTGAATATCCATATATAAAAAGAATTAAGTTGTACCCTTACTTCAAACCATGAACGAAGTTTAACTCAAAATGGATCAATGACCTAAATATAAGAGCTAAATCCATAAAGCTCTTAGAAAAAAACATGAGGATAAGTTTTCATGACCTTTGATTTGGCAGTGGATTTTTAGATATGACACCAAAAGCACAAGCAAAAAAAGAAAAAAATACATAAATTGGACTTAATAAAAATTAAAACCTTTTGTGCATCCAAGGACATTAACAAGAAAGTGAAAAGACAACCAATACAGTGGGAGAAAATATTTGCAATCTATATATCTGATAAGGATCTGGTCTCTAGATCTAGAATATGTAAAGAACTTTTATAACTCAACACAAAAGACAAACAATCCAATTTAAAAACGAGCAAAGGACTTGAAGAGACATTTCTCCAAAGAAGATATACAAATGGCCAACAAGCACTTGAAAGATGGTTAATGTCATCAGTCACTAGGGAAATGCAAATCAAAACCACAATGAGGTACTCCTTCATACCTACTAGGATGGCTATAAAAAACAACAACAACAGTGGAAAATAACAAGTGTTGACAAGGCTGCAGAGAAATTAGAAACCTAGTACACTGTTGGTGGAAATTTTAAATGGTTCATGCACTATGAAAAACATTTTGGCAGCTCCTCAAAAAGTTAAACATAGAATTACCATATGACCCTGTAATTCTACCCCTAGTATATATTCCGAAGTATTGAAAACAGGTCCTCATAACAAGTACATGTACACACATTTTCATAGTAGCACTATTCACAATAGCCAAAAGGCCGACATAGCCCAAACATTCATGGATGGATGGTTAAACAAATTGTGGTGTATATGCACAATGAAATATTATTCAGCCATAAAAGGGAATGAAGTATTGATATATGCTATACCATGGATGAGCTCCCAAAACATTATGCTAAGTGAAAGAAGCCAGACACAGTAGTCACATATTATGTGGTTCCATTTATATGAAATATCCAGAATACAGACAGAATGCAGATTGGTGGTTGGAGGGGGGAGTGGGAAGAAACTGGTTAATGAGTGAGGGATTTTACTTTGGAATGAATGATGGAAGTGTTTTGGAACTAGATAAGGGTGGTGGTTGAAGAACGTTGTGAATGTACTAAATGCCACTGAGTTGTTCACTTTAAAATGGTTAATTTTATGTCGTGAATTTTATTTCAATACATTTTTTTGAGTATAGTGATACAAGAATATAAAAGGTATCAGAACACTCATCTGCTGTTTTTCACACTGCAGTTTATAATGTAAGAAGAAGAGGGGAGTAAAAGAAAATAAAAGTTTTAAACTAGAGTTTTCAAAAGATCAAAGCCATTTAAAAAGATTGAATTAGAAAGTTGAACAAATGATGACATGAAGGAAAAAATGGGAATAAAAACAAACAAATAAATTATCATTAGCCTGTTTCAACGAGAAGCCAGATTTTAGCATCAAGATGGTATAAGCTCAGATTTATTTACTAGATACAAAGTGGTGGCCGATGAGTTTTTCCAGGTTAGGTTCAGAATTATCACCTTAACTCTCTTTATAAGAACAAAGCAAAATATTAGTAAGTGATTTCATTGAAGATATCAAACATAAGTTAATAAAACTAAGAAATAATGGAGTTCATATATTTGTAGAGGAAAGCACTCCTTTGTATGGATGTAGAAAAAGAAGGCAAGATAGACTTAAATATGGGACATTCTTTTGACTTAAAATTTCAGTGTAGATATATTCTCAGAGAATCCAGTGGATAGGAGAAACTATTGTAATTAGCTAATCTAATTTTAGTTACTTGCGTTTAGTGCAGCAATAAAAAGACAGAAAATGAATGCAAAATGTCATGTGTTTGGGTTGTAATATAAATCACCTATAAACTACAGAGAGAATTCAACAAGTATGTGAATTTTTACTAATAGTGACTGATTTTTCACTTTGTTTTCATTATTTGGTAGCTCCTTTGTCACTTTAATTAAATAATAATATTCTCTTTTGTCTTTGAGAAGTTGTGGAGTGGTGCTATGTCAGACACACCAAAAAATGCCCATTCTTGGCAGAATAAGAAAGTTAGCCTTTCTTTGATTGCAGATGATGAAAGCCATGAACAAGTCCAATGAGCATGTCCTGGCAGGAGGTGCCTGCTTCAATGAGAAGGCAGACTCTCATCTCGTGTGTGTCCAGAATGATGATGGCAACTATCAGACCCAGGCTATCAGTATTCACAATCAACCCAGAAAGGGTGAGTGTTTGAGCTGATTGAGGTTATAAGAATGGAAGATTGTACTGGAACTGGAGAGTTGGATATGTCAGCCCCATAACACTCACTGTCAGAATAGGTGACCACAGTTTGATTAAATTAACCTTTCCAAGCTTATTCTTTAGGAGTATGTTGACTACCCAGACTTAGAGTTGCAAATGGGATCTCTGTTATTGAGGGGAGCATCTTGAAAATACTGCCTCAGGATACTGACAGAGCCAGCATTGATATTTGAAGGTAGAAGACTAGGCCCCATGGTGAGAATATGCTTAGGTGGATTTAGAGCTTTTTGAATGACCATACCCAAAGAACGTTAATTAAATTAATAGGTTGACAGGATTCTGAAGGAAGCCTTCCAGATTCGGTGGTACTCAGAATGTGGTCTCATCACTTAGAAGATTGTTAGAGATGAAGACTCCATACCCCATTTCTGCTAAGTCAGAATTTGTGTTTTAACACAATTGCTGTGTTATTCAAATACACATGAGAATTTAAGAAGCATTGCTCAATGTGCCATTTCCTAAAGTGTCTTATCAGCTTCTATGGTTTTTTAAAATATTCACATAAATAAATAAAAGTTTAGCTTATTATATTAGACTGAGAAATCCTATGTTAAACAAGTTTAAGCAGATTTCTTTACTGCAGGACTTTTCAGAGCCTTTAACAAACTGATGTGTATTGTGATTTTACAAAAGCAGGATAGTGCCTAGACCTTCCCAAATTTATTTGACCATGAATCTTTTTTCCCCTCAGAATATCTCCTAAAACTAGCTTTCTTTAGTATGCTTTATGAAATACTTCTCTAGTAGACATACTGTAGGTCATTGTCTTCAGTGTATTTTTTAAATCAGTTGTTTAGTAAAGGCGTAAAAGGTACTGAGCACATGTATATTCAAATATACTATCTAAAATAGGTTGGTGATAAATCCACTATGCTCCCTATTAGTCAAATCATGTCTATAATATTTGAATAAGTTCTGGATATCATTAACATAATTGGTGATAAAACTAGAAGGTCTTTAGAGGATGATTCAAGGCCTGTGAGATGTTTAGAAACTAGGTCAAAGGAAGACCTCTTGAATAAAGTATAAATGTTTAACCTGGAAAAGTACAGATTGAAAGAGGGTGAAAAATAGCTATCTCTATTTTTAAGGTTTTCTATTATGTGGAAACAATATTCAACTTACTCTCTATAGCTACAAAAGACCAAAACCAGCACCAGTGGGTGAAAGCTACAAGGATCTAGATTTGGGCTCAATTTGAGAGCACACTCTGTAACACTGAGAGCTATCCAGAAATAGAAATGGTTGCCTTGTGCTTTGTGGGCTCCCTGTCACTAGGAGTCTCTGACAAAGGCTGGATCACCTACCCATTAGAGATACTGTAGGGCCAATGGGTAGGAAGGTGGAATAGCTCAGTCCAGTTTAAGATGTGGAGAAATAAAAAGTGTAGTGCAGTTTTCATAAAGCTAAATGTAATTAAATATCCTTTCTTTCATGAAGAGGTGTTTGTCTTTTAAATAGGTGTTTGTTTTTTTAATAGCTCCACTTGGTAAATAAAATAGTTGGCAACCATATCTCCATATTCAAAATATATTTGATCTAAAAAAAGCAATGAATTAGATCAGGGGTCAGCAAACTTTTCCTGTGAATATGATAAATATTTTAGGCTTTGCAGGCCTGTGGTCTTTGTCGCCAACACTCTGGCATCATACTTCAAGAACAGCCATAGACAATATGTAAATGAATGGATATGGCTGTGTTCAAATAAAATTTTGTTTACAAAAACAAGCTGCAGACCAAGCCCTAGTCATGACCACTAAGATTTCTTTGCTTCTTGATTGAAGGAAGCACAAAACAGAATGGGAGAGTATATCTTAAAACCTCATTCTCTAAGCTATCATTAGTATTTGAATTATTGGTTACTTGTGTATTGTGGTGTATAGAGTCGGTGTTTTTTGTTTTCTGTATGATGATGGTTGGAGTCCCCAACCACCAAATATTTCATTATTATTTTCAACCCCTCCAACTCAGAGTCTTTCTTCATTAAACTATTTCTATTGCTATTTTAGTGACTGGTGCCAGTTTCTTTGTGTTCAGTGGCGCTCTGAAATCCTCTTCAGGATATCTTGCCAAGTCCAGTATTGTGGAAGGTAAAGAATGAGTTATTTACTGCATGTACATTAGTTCAGTCCTAACTGTACAACTGAAAAACAAGGGACATTAAAGGAAGCCTTGGGCTTCCCTTGTGGCACAGTGGTTGGGAGTCTGCCTGCTGATGCAGGGGACGTGGGTTCGTGCCCCGGTCCGGGAGGATCCCACACGCCGCGGAGCGGCTGGGCCCATGGGCCATGGCCTCTGGACCTGCGCGTCCGGGGCCTGTGCTCCGCAGCGGAAGGGGCCGCAGTGGTGAGGGGCCTGCGTACCGCAAAAAACAAAACAAAACAAAACAAACAAACAAAAAAGGAAGCCGTGTCACTTTTGCTGCAGACATTGTTTTTCTTTTTTGGATTGACGTCTAATTCCAGCTAGTCTCATTTTGACAGTGCTACCTGTCAACTCTAAACAAATGAATTAATCTGAGTACTTTCTTTTTTTTAAATAAATTTATGAATGTGTGTATTTATTTATTTATTTATTTATGGCTGCATTGGGTCTTCATTGCTGCATGTGGGCTTTCTCTCTAGTTGTGGCGAGCAGGGGCTACTCTTCCTTGCGGTGCGCGGGCTTCTCATTGCAGTGGCTTCTGTTGTTGCAGAGCACAGGCTCTAGGCACATGGGCTTCAGTAGTTTGTGGCACACGGCCTAAGTAGTTGTGGCTCGCGGGCTCTAGAGCACAGGCTCAGTAGTTGTGGCACAGGGCTTAGTTGCTCCGTGGCATGTGGTATCTTCCCGAACCAGGGCTCGAACCCGTGTCCCCTGCATCGGCAGGCAGACTCCCAACCACTGCACCACCAGGGAAGTCCTGCCATAGACTTCTGACTCCTATTATTTATTCAATAGCATCTCACTCTACAGCTAATTAAAACTGTCATAAGGTTGCCTAGCTCTCCAAAGAAGGGAGTAAGTGGTAGAGGTATCATGGGACACTGACATAAAAGTTAAGAGATGGCTTTTCAGAGCTCTGGAATAAGGTGCCCAAAGGGTCATAGTCTGAATTCAGATATATCACTGGTGTGAATCTGTAAATATGTAGATGAAGTTCAGCCCCAATTACCCACAAGAATGCTGCAATCACCATTTGGTGTACAGAATGGGAATCATTTGCTGCTGGTTTGCTATAATTGACGTGAAAAGTTAATTAAGTGAAATTTAATGAAAGGCTAATGAGCATATTGGTTATTTTCTTTAATTGATTTTTGTAATTTATTTTATTGAAGTTTAGTTGATTTATAATGTATTAATTTCTGCTGTACAGCAAAGTGATTCAGATATAATACACACACACACACACACACACACACACACACACATACATTCTTTTTCATATTCTTTTCCATTATGGTTTATCACAGGATATTTATTTTCTTTGTCAACTATTCTTCACTTTTTTTTGATCTAGTTTACTCTGGTTGTATAACAAATTAAACCAGAATTTAATGGCTCAAAACAACTATTTTATCATGCTCACTGATTCCTCTGGGTCTGCCCTTGACAGGGCAATGCAGGGTTGGCTTGACCCTGCTCAGTGATGTCTGGGGCCTCAGTTGGGATAGCTTGAAGGTTGGTAGTTACTTGATGGCCGGGAGCTAGAATTATCTGAAAGTTTTTTGACTCACAAGTCTGGGGCCTGTGCTGGGATGATTTAAAGACTAGGAGTAATGACCAGAGTCCTTATCATCGGACTCCTTAGCATGCTGCCTTGGGATAGTTGGACTTATTACATGGTGGCTCAGAACTCCCAAGCACAAGTGCTCCAGCACAAGGCAGCAGCCGCACTGGTTTTTATGACCCAGCCTTGAAAGTCACACAGTGTCATTTCCACCATCCTCTAGTGTTGGAAGTGGTCATAAGCCTGCTCGAAGGGAGAGAAGTTAGACTCCATTTCTTGATGGGGAAATGGAAAGGTAGCATTGTAGAAAAGCATGTGAGACGGGACATATAGTGGTCATCTTTGGAAAATATAGTCTGCACACACAATGACAGGTTTTCATTTCCACAGTAGCTCACTCCAGTACCCTAAGGGCAGTGTTTCCTGAGGGTAGATTCCATTGTGTTAACTGAAATACATAGATAATCTTATGTGTGTTAAAAGAGATTGACTTTGATCTCCTCTATTGGTAAACTTAATAAAACAGCAAGTGAAGAGCCAAGTATGCTATTATACTACATAGCAGAAACACTCTATTAAGAAATTAAGATATCTAGGAGCTAAGCAGTTCTTTGGTCTTAAATGACTGATTAATGCCTATGTGATCAAATATTGACTACCTTTGAAATTGTGTCTTTATAAGGTGATTAAAAAGCACACCTTCAATGTTGTCAAAATGATAAATTGAACTGACACAGATTCTTACAAATGCAAAGCAATGTATTTAAAAGTTATATTTATGTCTTTGGGTTGGGAATTTCTTAGGCCTTACACTTCAATGTGTGTGTGTGTGTGTGTGTGTGTGTCAATAGAGTAATTAGCTGCCTATTTATGAAATTTTTATTGAAGCTCTTTAGAAATTATCTTAGCTGAGAAAATTTTGTGTCAGCGAAGCAGGGTAATTGCTCAGCATGTGACAACTTTCTCCCTCAATTTCAGTATTTGCCTTTGACTCAGCTAGGTAGCAGCCCCAAAATAGTTATCATCTGTTGGCTACATGGTAGCCCATATAAGACACATGTGGTAGGTTTGCCTTATTGCTAGTCAATAAATGGATTTATTCCCCATCCCACTGCTGTTGTTTATTCAGTGATTTATTTTCAAACACTTACTGGCTTTCACTGTATGCAGTCTTAGTAAGGCGAGAGATGCAAACGAATAAATATGATCAGAGCATGATAGATGCATCAGTGGAAATACGAACAAAATCCTCTGTGTGTCCAAACGAGGGACTTGACCATGTGTAAGTTTTCCCTTTGAGCAGTCTCAGGACAAACTTTGTTGTGCCTGAAGTGAAATCAACAGGCAAGTGTTTGAAGCAGAATCCATCCATCTTGGCATTTGCTCCTCATAACACTTTCAATGAGTAAGAGGTTCAGCTCAAAGAACAAAACCTCTTTGTATCTGTCAGCTTCAGAAAACAGAACAGAGTTTTACATTTAATCCTAGAGGGATTTGCTAGATGCCAGGTACAGGGTTTCACCTGCCCTTCTACCTGGCTTTGCATTGTTTCCATCTGTATTGTCTTGGTGCTGATTCTCAGATGGCGTTATGGTCCAGATCACTGCAGAGAACATGGATGCCTTGAGGCAGGCGCTGCGGGAGATGAAGGACTTCACCGTCACCTGTGGCAAGGCAGATGCCGAGGATCCCCAGGAGCACATCCACATCCAGTGGGTGGATGACGACAAGAATGTCAACAAGGGGTAAATGCGGCAACCTTCCCCCCTTGTGGCATTTCGTTATGGGCTAGGCTCTGGGTTTGGTCTATACTGGTGTTTTATAACTTTACTGAAAGCCCTGCCTAAGAAGAAAGGACTGCTTTGTATCATAACATGGAATTTTAAATTTCTGGTTTCTTGGCTTAATTTCTGAAGGAGTTTCTGTGCATATTTTTGAAGGGAGGAGGAGGGAAGGAGTTGATGAAACAAAACAATCCCTTTAAAGTTTTTGAGATAATAGTAAAACCTAAGCCTTTTTTGGTTTACAAAACACTTTTGCGAGTTTTGTTTCATTTAACAACTAGTATTGTTATTTCTGTATTACAGATGAGTAAATAAACACCAAAAGGATAAATGACTCCATAAAGCTAGGAAGTGGCAGGGCTAGGACTGAAAACCACCTCCTTGGGCTTCAAATCCTATACTCTTCTCTAGTACATGGCAACTCTATTCTGATGGTTTAAGCCCAAACCTTGGAGTCATCTTTGACGCTTTTGTCTCACACCCTACCACCTAGTCCAACAGTAAATCCTGTTAGCTTTACTTTAAAATATTTCCAGAATCGTACTACTTCTCACTACCCCTGCTGCCATCATTTGGTCTGCATTATTGCAGTCCCCTCCTAATTGGTTTCATTGTTTCTAGTCTTGGCCTCCTCCTTCCCCCAGCCTAATCAATTTCCAGTACAGCAGCCAGAGCATTGTCACTTCTTTGCTCAAAACCCACCACTGGCTTCCAGTGTCATTCAGGGTAAAAGCCAAAGTCTTTTACGACATACAAGGCCTTACACAATCCCTCCGCCCACTTCTCAGAAGCAACACCTGGCTTCTTGCACGAATACATCAGCTGTGCTTCTGCCCTCAGACCTTTGTACCTTCTGTTTTCTCAACTTATACCCTGTTCCTATATAGCCACCCTCCGCCCACTTCTCAGAAGCAACACCTAGCTTCTTGCTCAAATACATCAGCTGTGCTTCTGCCCTCAGACCTTTGTACCTTCTGTTTTCTCAACTTATACCCTGTTCCTATATAGCCACGAGTTGCTTCCTCCCTGCTTCAAGTTTTTTCTAAAATGTCACTTTCTCAATAAGGCCTTCCCTGGCCAGCCTACTACATTATAAGCCTCTCATACACATTTCTTCCCTCCCCTGAATTATATTTAAGAGCAACTATAACTCTCTAACATATATTGTTATTTATTTATTTTATTATATTGCCCCTGGGATGTAAGCTCCATGAGGGCAGAAATTTTTGCTGGTTTATTTACTTCTGTGTCACCAGCACCTAAAACACTGTCCAGCACCAAGCAGTTCTTTTTTTAAAAAATTATTTATTTATTTTTGGCTGCGTTTGGGTCTTCGTTGCTGCGTGCAGGCTTTCTTTAGTTGTGGAGAGCAGGGGCCACTCTTCGCTGCCATGTGCGGGCTTTTCATTGCAGTGGCTTCTCTTGTTGCGGAGCATGGGCTCTAGGCACAGGCTTCAGTAGTTGTGGCACTCGGGCTCAACAGTTGTGGCTTGCAGGCTCTAGAGTGCAGGCTTAGTAGCTCCGCGGCATGTGGGATCTTCCCAGACCAGGGCTCGAACCCGTGTTCCCTGTATTGGCAGGCGGATTCCCAACCACTGCATCACCAGGGAAGTCCCCCAAGTAGGTTCTTTAAAAAACTGATTAATTGAATAAATATGTCATACTTCATTGTATTAAGCTTTCTCCCATTCATCCTTCAGGCAATAACTCTATGTGTGGGCTTCTGAAAATACAAAAATGAAGTCCACGTGGTCCTTGCTGACAGGTGACTTACTCTGGTTTTGAAGATAGTTATAAATAAGTCCACCAAAGTTCGGAAGATGCTCATAGAAAACTCTATAGGAGACAGTGAAGATAAAAAAGAAATGAGGAACTTGGTAGAGGTGGTCGGGCAGTATTCGGGAATGACTTCCTAGAGGAATGGCTGCTGCTTGAGCTGAGTCTGGTAAGATGAGTAGACATTTGCTGCATAGCTGTGGCAGAGTGGGCATTCCATTCTGAGGGACTAGCAGAAGCAAAGGCAGGTAGAGGGCATTTACAACAAGATTTTTTAAAAAATGGTTTTAAAACCTTTGTTATTGAACAAAAGGAAGCAATTTCTAAATCAATGAGTGTGTTTGCCTACTTTACAAATAACCCTTTATCTTCCCATACTTCCTGGAAAATTTCAAAATCAATTTGTGTTTAATTCTCTATTATATTTGGTTATTAGGTTGATGGTGTGAACTGATGAACAAGTGTCTATATTATCTGTCACAACAAATTCCATGGTTATTAGGACAAAAAAGTTGATAAACTGAAAATCTGATGCCTTAAGGTATTGGTAGCTAACAACAAGTAGGTTGCCCTTTCCTACAACACGTGCCAGTGGCAGTATCTTAGAACAAAGGACAAGAACTAGTCAGGGAAGACTCTTGAACCCAGGAGTTTAGTTTGCAGTGTGTAGACTGAATGTTTTCCAGCTTGTTCCACAGTGTCAGGGTAGCCTTTCTCAAAAGAGTGTTAATCAACTGAGGCTGCTCTATTTTTGACATTGTCTGATGAGTTAGAAGTTAAACTTAACAGTGGTTAAATAATTTTAATTCAGTCAAATGAAGCAAATCCCAATTTAGGTTAAATTTGACCTTTTGTACATAGAGATTCAAAAACATAAACAGGTTTGAAAATTGTTAGGAAAAGTTTGGAATCTTTGCGACAATTCTTTGGAATCCTCATTGGAAGGAGTATGTATCTCCACGTATTTATACTTGCTATATTTTGGAGAGGGCACGACCATAAAATGTGGCCTTTGAATTCAGGAATCTAGAAGTGATAAGGTAGCAATGAAAGGAGTTTGTTGTGATAGATAATATAGATACATGTTCATCAGTTCACACCAGCACTGTCATAATTAACATACTTGGTCAAATAATTCCTTTAATCAATAAATACTTATTAACCGCCTACATTCCAAGCAGTGTGTCAGACCTGGAAATGTAGCACACAGAGGTGAGTATATCGTATACCCTCCCTTTCGGAAGTTCATTTGTGAGGTAAATACGCAGACGTCTGGAGAGTATGATGTGATGAGTGTCGTCACAGTCAGGAGCGGAGTGCTGTGGCAGAGCCAGGGGAGAGCAGCATCGGTGGGGCTGTGCAGTCACTGAAGGGAGGAACACTGGAGGAAGAGAGCAGGCTTGAGTAAACAGTTTCTTTACATTAAATAACCAGCTCCTGGAATCAGGACTCCTCTGTCATATGTGTGTTCCCTGAATTATTTCAGTGCATAGGCCCTTCCCTGAGAGCTCGGTTCATGTACATTTTTGTGCAGTGGCTTCTTCTTTTATGATGTTTTACACATGTGTTCAGCAAGGCACCCAGTGTAATTAGTAAAAAGACTTGACAAGAGAAGTGGTTCTTCTAACTTTGAGCTGCTTACATCTCTTTCCTTTTGTCTCTGTTTTAGTGTCATAAGTCCCATAGATGGGAAGTCCATGGAGTCTATAACAAGTGTGAAGATATTCCATGGATCAGAGTATAAAGCAAATGGAAAAGTCATCAGATGGACAGAGGTAAGGAAATGAAACTTGGCATCCTTGACCTCCTTTGAAGACAACTTTTGCTCGGCCCAGAGACACATTCTGGGCTGATTCTGGAGGATAAGAAAAATAAATAAATAAAATCTCTCTGTTTACCTTCTATACTCCAATTCTCTCTGGTCTATCTTAGCTCACTAGGAAGAAATGCACAAAGTGCGGCCTGCAGCAGTCAGACATCTCCTCCCGATGAACTAGTTTTTAGAGATTTGTTCACATTGGAACTCAAGAAGGGTGTATCTCTGAAGGGTGCATACCATCTTTGCTGGATTCTTCAGAAAGCTGGGCTGGTTATGCTGCAGTTATAACTGTCTTGGATAACGCAGTCTTTAAAAAATAGACTTATCTCACCAATAAGAAAACTAAAGCTCAGAAACTAACTTGTCCAAGATTACATGGCGACTAAGTAATGGCTGAGTCCTGATTCAAACCCAGATCTGGCCAACTCCTAAGCTCTTTTCCACTTTATTGTTCCTTAACGTGAAAGCTGTGTTAGAGGCTAACTTGGGAATGAGAGGACAGGGCAGAAACCCTGTATATGTGTACATGTTAGACAAATCAGAAAGTTTATTTTCTGAGAGTAAACAGGTAGGTCCTGTGTCTCAACTTCTTTTGAACCTCATTTATACTTGTCTATAAAATAAAGTATTAAATTATAAGATCTCTAGGATTTCTGGCAGCTTTAAAAATCTTATTTTTTTTTTTAAATCTAAGAAGTTCTTTGACTTCTACCTTTTCCATTTTACACACAGGGTAACTGAGGCCAAGGGAGGAGGTTAAATGCCTTACCCAAGTTTACTAGCTGATTCCTGACAACACATAGACTAGAGGTTCTTCAGTTCTTGAGCTGTTGTTCCAAGTGGCTTATCTTTCATACCATGCTTGGTGTTTTCATATGCGGCTGAGTGGTTTTCTCTGCTTGCTTTGTAATGATCATCCCTTTGATATATTTTGAGTAGTGCAGGGTCTGGAACATGTAAATGTCTTTATTGCTTACAAAGTAGTTTGACCTGTTTCCTCCTTTTTGCTCCCTAGTAACCCACTGAGGTAGGGAGATGAGAAATGAGAAATTACATAATGAGTAAACAGTCTCAGAGAGGCCGGGTGACTTGTGACTTGCCTAATGCTGGTTGCTGGCAGAGCCAGGGCCAGAAGTCTCCTGAGTCCCACTCCAGAGCTTCCATCATTTCATGCTGCCATTCTCACTAGTGCATCGGGCGTAGGGCTTCAGAGTGGCCCCTTTGCAGTATTCTTAGTATAAGCCACTGCTTGAGCAGTAAGCTAGGGCGTGGTATATAGAAGCATTGTGTATTTACGTATCTGTATCTTTTACGTTTTGCTTTTATATCATTTAATTTTTATAATAACCAGAGAGAATAGGTGCTTCCCATTTTACAGAGGCAAGCCGGGCATTAAGAAGCTAAAGGACTTGCTCATGACCCTCCTCTATGTGACTAGGACTCAAGTCTCAGTTCCAAATCTGCTATGCTTCTGCTTGCGCCCAGTGCAGTGCTCAGTTCAAGGACACTGACACAGCTCTGGCCTCAGCAGTGGCAGAGCCATGTGGTGGGAAAAACTGTCTGTGATAAGAGGCAGATTCTGGTTTAGGCCCTGAGTGAGTCACCTCCCTTCTGTGAGTAATCAGTAATATGAAGGTGTTGGGTGACATGATCTATAAGGTCCGTTCTCTTAGAAAGTTGTCCACATATTAGGGATTCCTTTTACAAGTTTACAGTGCAAAATGTAAGCCATTCCTGGTTCTGCGTAGAACATACCATTATGAGCATGGCCATGGCTTTCAGGTAGATAGGCAGATAGCAGCTACCATTTTGTGGATGCAGAGACTGTGAGAGACAGAGGCTGTCTCTTAGATGTAAGATGTCAGTGCCCTACTTTTCTTGGCCCAAGGACCTCGTGGTGTCCGAGGTCTTCCTGCACATCTTAGGGAATCAGGTTGCTCATACACGTGAGTTGGTGTACTCATTTCTTCCTACATCTCCTAGGCACAAGTTTAAAAGTCTCTTTTTGTTTGGGGACCAGGTGTTCTTCCTAGAAAATGATGACCAGCACAGTTGCCTGAGTGATCCCGCAGATCACAGCCGACTGACCGAGCATGTTGCCAAGGCTTTTTGTCTTGCTCTGTGTCCCCACCTGAAGCTTCTGAAGGAAGATGGAATGACTAAACTGGGACTACGTGTGACACTTGACTCAGATCAGGTAAAGAGTCTCAGCCTTTGAAGCGGGCCTTGGGCAGTGTCTGTTTTCTGACATGTGAGTTTTCCTGCTGCAACCCAGAGAGTATAAGTCTCTGGACCTTGGGCCTGACCAGATATAGTATTTAGCCTTCCCTCTGTTGGTAATACAGCTGGATGTGCTGCTTGGTCAGACTCTCTGGACCATTGGAACTCTCTGGCTTCCTCCCCTGAATTCTTGCAAGGACTTTTCTTTTTAGTGTGGGCTAAGAAGTGTGTGTGAGGACCGGCCACCTCCGGTGTGAATGACATCAGGGCCAGCCTTTGAGACTCCCCAGCCCCGCCCTTTGGGAATCATTCTGCCTCCTTTAGAGAGCAGGTCCTAAGCTGTCCTATATCCTGTCGTTTTCTTAAACTACAGAAGACTTCTGCCGACTGGCCTCTGCAGCTCCCACCCCTTACTGGCAACATTTCCAAGCTAGTTAGTGGCTAGGACTTGAACTATTTCCCCATTGGGTTTCCTGTCAGTTCAGGTCTCCTGTGGCCGGGCTTCCCTCCCTGTCTTACTTATTAACCTTTTTGTATGCTGTTTGTAGCCACAATCCAGTCTTCGTGCACCCTGCCCCCACTTCCTTTCCCCAGTGTCTCTCTCCTGTGGCCTAGCACTCTAATCTCCCTACATTTCTTTTGGATTTTAGATCCATGTGACATGTCCCAGTGTTCCTGCTTTGATGCAGAGTTATGTCATTATCAGGGAAAATGTGAAAGGTTATATGTTTGGCTGCATTTCCTGACTAGTCATCAGTCAACAGATAGTTATTTTCTACTAAAGGTCTTGCCCAGTGCTGTACTAAGCATGTCAAGGTAATACAAATGAGGTATTACGGTTCTTTCTCAAATGGTACTGAAAATGTGGCTGGAGAATTACCGCACATAAAACAATTTAAGAACAAGCATTTTTCTGCTAAATGTGTAGGGCTGTCGAGGGCAGGGGCCTGTTTACATTCATCCTTGAATTCCTGTGTTTGTAGGTGTTCAGAAGATGGTGTGTGGAAGAATGGATGGAAGAACAAGTGTTCAGTTCCTGTTGTGTTAGGGAGTTTACCCAGTATATTTCTCGTTTTAATTTTCACAACCAAAGGTTTACGTATTACTGCTGACATTCCATACCTCTCTGTGTCCCATCCCCCCTTCCTGGGAAACTAAGACCTAACAGATTAAGTGTCTGGCCCAAGGTCTCACAGCTATCATGTGGTAGAGGCAGGATGAATGACAGGATGGTAAGTGACAATTCAGGGAAGAGAAGGAGAAGTTTGTGTCTACTGCCAGTTCTAGCCCTTGGCCAAGAAGGACATCTCCTTTCCTGCTCAGCCTCCTTGGCCCTCAGCCCTCTGGAGAGATCTTCTCTGTCCAGTAACCTCTCATCCCCTTCTTTCTGTGGTGTAGGTTGGCTACCAAGCAGGGAGCAATGGCCAGCCCCTTCCCTCGCAGTACATGAACGATCTGGACAGCGCTTTGGTGCCGGTGATCCATGGAGGGGCCTGCCAGCTCAGTGAGGGCCCCATCGTCATGGAACTCATCTTTTATATTCTGGAAAACATCGCATAGACAGAGAGGACTTCATTTTTTTCTGTTCAGACCTGTTGCAACAGCAGTCATACCCAAATCATTTGCACTTTAGAACTGGAAAATTAAGATTTTGTTAACACTATTAATGGGGGAGGGGGGGGGGGGGGTTTGGGGGACGGGGTGGGAAAGGGTGGGTGGGGGGACAGATGTTCCATAATTCTAAGTCTTCTATGCATTGTCCACCGAGAAGATCTGGGCAGCTTCTGTTACTGCACCACAGTTACGCTATCCTTGCAGCTAATCCCCTTCTGTTACTGTTTAGACAAGAGTTCTGCTCCTCTGTTTTAAGACTTACTTTTGGTCTTGTGCTCAGAAATGTTCAGATGGGTACAGCCATCACCAAGGGTGGGGTGGGAGGGCAGAGGGGAAATAAAAAATGAAGCATCAGTCTTGAACTCTTTGTATAGGATGGATATAAAAAGGACAGTTTCACGCTGATCTTGTCCCAGTTACATCACAGCAACTTCAAGTAGGAGTCACACTTAGATTTTTTGTTTTTACTAGATTATTTATTGAAGTGAATCAAAGACCCAAAGGATTATCTCTCTTCTATTCAAGGAAGGGCGACTCAGTGTAAATGAGGTCACCTGGATAGTAGAGCCAATTACAGGATCTCTCAAGATCTGCCAGAGTGGATGAGACACTGAATCGGGCCTTTCTGTGAAAGCTGACAGAATATACCCAAGACATTTTTAGTTATAATATACACTAGAGATATTTCATTTTATGCCATGCCATGCCCTGCCGCTTGCAGGATCTTAGTTCCCTGACCAGGGAATCGAACCTGGGCCCTGGCAGTGAAAGTGCAGAGTCCTAACCACTGGACCACCAGGGAATTCCCTACACCATAGGTATTTAAAAAAATATTTTATTGAGAAATAATTTAAACTTCCAGGAAAGTGGCAAGTTAAAAAGTCCACCACCACCACCACCTACGTATGCTTTACCCAGATTCAGCTATTGTTCACAGATTAACTCATTTGCTTTATCAGTGTTCCTTTCCTTTTCTCTCTCCATAAAAAATTGAGGCACTTGAGAGTAAGTTGCATACATCATAGCCCTTTATCCCTAAATACTTGAATGTTTGTTTCCTAAAAATTAGCACATTTTCTTACATAACCATAGGACAGTTCTCAACTTCAGTGTGATACTTTAACCTAGCATCTGTCCAATAATGTCCTTCACAGCATCTTTCCCCTCCAGTGAAGCTTCCAGCATGATAAGACAGACATGGTAAGTTGCTGTCATGACTCACCTTTATCTTTTATGTCATTGGTATTTTTGGTGAATAAGGTTCCCCCAACTCATTTCTTAATAGAAAATGCCTCATTTTGCATTCAGTTGGTATTTCCTCATAATTAGGTGAATTACACATTGTTGGCCAGAATCCTACCTAAGTGATGTTGTGTCCTTCTTAGGACACAACAGGGGTCACTTAAGTGACCCACATTAGGGGTTACTTAATGTCCTTCTGCCCCTCACTGATGGTAAATTTTCATCACCTGGTCAAGGTGTGGTCCAGTTTGTCCACTGTATATTTTCCCCCTTGGAACAAATAACCAATACGTGTAGAGATATTTGCAGATCATGCAGATATCTTGCTCACTGAAATTTCCCCTTACAAGTTAGCATTCTCTGATGTTTCCTGTCTGAATTGATCTTTTACTATAATGGCTACAAATGATTTCTCAATTCCAGCACTTCCTCTACCTTTATCAGTTGCACTTGATTATCTATAAGCAAAAGCCCTTCTTTCGTATTTATTCATGTAATTAGTTTTCATTATGGACTTGGGATTACTTTTTGAATGGTTCTGATTCATTATTTTGGTGCTCAAATGGTCTCAGCTTTGGCCAGAGAGAACCCCTTCAGGTGAGCTCCCACATCCTTGTGACATGCTCCTAACATTTTTCTGAACACTTCCTTTTCTGGCCTAACAAGATGCCCCAGGGCCATCTTGGGCTAACCCTGTCCCAGCCTTGGAATCAGCCTGTTTTTTTTTTTGTTTTTTTTTTTTAAGAGGAAGTGGTATTAGAAGCCAAGATTTGATTTAACAAATTATTTACCAAATAATATTTGGTTTACCAAATAATATATGTGATGCACTCTGATCATTTTCTCCTTCATTAAGAATTTATTTTGGTCACAGACCAAATAGATTTCACAACCCACAGTTTGAAAAACACTGCTCTAGGGCAACTCACTTCCTTGGCACTGGCATCTTCTAAACACCCAGGCCAAGCGAGAGGTTGGTCCCTCTTCAGTGAAAGCACAACTCCAAGAAGCCCCTGGAAGCTAGCGCGGGCCTCTGAGACAGTGAGAGGCTGCTCCTCAGTGGCTGGAGCTGGGCTTAGCACTTGGCAATTACAGGCTGTGGAACTACGTTTAGGGCAACAGCTGTTTTCTGAGGCCCAAGTGTGTCTAGCTAGGTATAGTTCTCTTCCGTGGTGGGGGAAATCAACCTTCTACATCTGCCTCTCCACAGCCTTCGCTGATGGTGGCTGCAGAGAGCTGGGATTGTGACCTTTCCCGTAGACTTGGAGCTTCTAAGGCAAGAAAAGAATGGGAGCCCACCGAACACCAGCTTGTAAGGACCGAGCCCTTGGACTGTCACCCCCCAAACCTGACAGGCACAGGATGCACTTGTTAATAACAGGGGTATTAATAACAGGGTTAATAATACTGGTAGTAGGTATTTGGGTGTAACATCTAGCTTGGTCTAAATATAAATCGGAGCTTCTGTAGGAGCTGGCTCCCTTGGTCCTGTCCTCCTAGAGAAGTTACCTTTCTTCCTGCCACCTAAATAGATCTTGCAGTTATCCATACCTTTTGGGATCAGTGCAAACTTTTAAATTCCCCTACTCTGGCCCTGCACAGTCAGGTCCATTCTCAATTGCATAAAATGTCCTTTATGTTTAGTAAAATCATCTTGTGGAATTGGGCATAAAATAGCCAAAGCTAGTTCACTGTTTTCCCTCGTTTCATTTTTGTTTTTATACACTGTATGTTGTATAGAACTGAAACATCACATTTCTAAATAAGGCAGATTCTTCTATAATGTAAACTTAGATTGAGATACAGAGATCCTTATAAAGAGGAACAGAAATTGCCATTCTGGTAACATTAAATTTTTAAAAACTAAATTCTTACCAAATGCTCGGCAGTGTAGTTTCTCCATTTCTTTTTATCACCTCTTATCTGAGCACCTACCAGACTCTAGGGCTACAGAAATATGCAACTTTGCCCTGTATAAGTTCCCATCTAGTGTCTTCCCTCATGCACAGTGTTTCCTGAATGCTGGTGAGCTCAGAATTTCCAGCTGAATTTACTTCTATCATAAATAGTCATCTGGGGAATAATTTATGCATTTAATGCACTTCAGACAACAAGCAAGCAATCTGCTTAACACTGTTTCTAGAGCAAGTTTGTGACGGTGGTTTCTATTTTAATAATAATGCTAAAATAATTTTAATAATGACAGTAATGGGATTTGGAGGATTGTAATGTAGCCAGAAGGGATAAGGAGCAGAATAGGAATGATAACGCCCATTTTAGAGTTTGGGAAGCTGAGGCCCAGAGAAGCGAAGAATCTGTGATGGAACTGGACCAGGTGCAAGCTACCTGCCTCTACCTTCTACCAGTCTCAGCTCCACAGTTTCATCTTAAAAGCAGTTGCCTTTACTTTTTTTTTTTTTTTTTTTGCGGTACGTGGGCCTCTCACCGTTGTGGCCTCTCCCGTTGCAGAGCACAGGCTCCGGACGCGCAGGCTCGGCGGCCATGGCTCACGGGCCCAGCCGCTCTGCAGCATGTGGGATCTTCCAGGACCGGGGCACGAACCCATGTCCCCTGCATCGGCAGGCGGACTCTCAACCACTGCGCCACCAGGGAAGCCCTGTAGCCTTTACTTAAGGGGCAAGATCTTTTAAGAGCTGCCCACATATATTTGGAAAACAAGCGCTCAAAAATTGGGAAGCAACAATGCAGGTTTCAGAATAGTGCTATAAGAAAGGAAAATAATAAACTAGTCTGCCCTTTAATTGTGAGCAAGACTTCCTGATTCTGAGATAAATTTCTTCCATATTTTGTTCAGTTCACTATTTCAAAAGAAAATGTGCCTTGCACTAAATTGAAAAGAAATTTTAAAATTTAAAAATGATTTGGGTTGTGGCTGGTTCTCGACTGCTCATAAGTCACTAATCTGCGATGCTGAGTTGCTGCATTTGGATAAATCTTAGGAGAAGATGAAGCTGGGCAGGCTCCTCCCATGCCAGTGACCCCTGCATGCTGTGGCTAAAACAAAGGCCTTTTAAGAACCTTAGTCTCTAAGTCCAGTGGGCGGCTTTGTCTTGCCTCTCTCAGCCTGGAAGTTCTGTTTTCCAAAAAGCAAAGGGCAGTTAAGCAGAATGAAATTGAACAGGTTATGATGGGAAATCTCTGAGCCACAGAAAACTTCCTATCAAATTTCTAGCAGAGGAGAGTTTAGAAATTCCTAGGGCTGGCAGAAGCTTCAAGCCCTCTTAGCACTGGTGAGTTGGGTGCAAACCCTGCGGGGAAGACTAGGTTGAGTCAGGAACCCTCTTTGCCACCCCTCTTTGCTCTAGGCCACCTTAGGAGGGCTAACAACCCTCCTTTTCATTCTAGATGGCTGCTTGTACGACATATAGATATGACTGCATTTAAGGGTTAAGGCTCACATCAGTGGAATTTTTGGTAGTTCACTCTGATAGGTAAGACTGGCCAGCAAGCTCTCAGAAAAGTTATTTGTTGTCCCTGCTCTGTTACCCACTGTAAGCTCTGCTCTTAAGGGCAGGGAAGCATGGTCCAGCTCCATCCCAGAAAAAGACACACACACAAAAGCTCAATCCCCGAGCTGTGCATTTGCAGTGCTATAGTGATCAGTAAGTTGAATGTATCTGCTTTACATAAAGCCTTAAAAAATTATCTTCAGGAATGCTTTGTTGAACTTAATGCTTCAAAAAAAGGGGGAAAAAAGATGCGGTATTAAAGTTTATTTCTAAGAGATGTAGAATATTGCAGTTTTGAACATTAAATCTGTTGCAACTATAAATCCCTCCATTATTTCCATCCATTCAGAAAAACAAAGCCAAAGGAGAATTTCTTGGGAAGAAACAAAGGGATTTCCCTAGGTGATGAGCTGAAGAGGCAAGGCTTCCCCTGCCCTGTCTCTAGAGGAAGCCATAGCAGCAGTTTCTGTCAATTAACAAATGTTACTGCCACTCTGGCTTTAAAAAGTGACAGGGAGCAGCAGGGCTTTTGTTTAGGACTTTCATGGTTACTTTGTGAGGAGAGTGTAAATCCCCTACAATGAGTTAATTAATTAGACCTAGTTTCTTAAATAAAATCAGCTACATAATATATATACACACATATATATAGTTTTTCTTTCCTAGTTAACATTCTTTCAGTCTTAGGTACATGGACCAAACCCAACACAGCCCTACCCTTACTTCCCACCACACAGTCCTGAACAAACTTCCACTGAGAGCTCTGAGAAGCAGGGAGGCTAGTGCAGCAGCTGTCAGGAACCAAGGCACAGGCACAGGCAGGGCAAACTGAGGGGGTAAACTGAGTTGTGTGGGATAGGCTGCCACTGGCCACCTGGAGTCACAGAACCCTGCCCCCACCCAAAGCAGGGGGTGTGGCGGGGTGTCCAGATCACACTCGAGTTTTCC